TTTGGAGCTTTAAACTGTAGATTGCATTATCGCTGCTGGCTCGAGCATTTATGATTTTGTGAAACCCAACTCCCCCTCCTTTTTTCCGAGCTCTCTCACTATCGCACACAGACAAACAGCGATATCCTCGTCTGGAATATTCTTCATTGGTCTGATGAGAATCCAACCGACAAGATCCGTAAAGAGTCAGAGGTCATTGTCTCACGCAGAGAAAAATCCAAACAACAGCTCTGTTAGAAAGAGGGGGAACCAGAGGACATATGCTCAGTGTCCACAACAACGCCAGCATCTGTAGTTTTCATGGTTTACATCACTGACAGATCGTTTTTCTGAAAACATGATGTTTTAAATGTTTTTCCATATATGGATATGTACAATACAGAACAGTCAAGTAAATATGTCGTAATACAATAAGTTATGTCACAGTTTGGCCAGAAACACACTCCAAATGCACAATTAATAAAATGTGGCTATCAAATATCCCTCAGATATCGTTAAAACAAATATATTGTATTTGTGACCCTGGAGCACAAAACCAGTCTTAAGTCGCTGGGGTATATTTGTAGCAATAGCCAAAAAAACATTGTATGGGTCAAAATTATTGATTTTTCTTTTATGTCAAAAATCATTAGGATATTAAGTAAAGATCATGTTCCATGAAGATATTTTGCACATTTCCTACTGTAAACATATCAACACTTCATTTTTGATTTGTAATATGCATTGCTAAGAACTTCATTTGGACAACTTTAAAGGCGATTTTCTCAATATTTAGATTTTTTTACACTTTCAGATTCCAGATTTTCATATTGTCCTATCCTAACAAGCCATACATCAGTGGAAAGCTTATTTATTCAGCTTTCAGATGATGTATAAATCTCAATTTCACAAAATTCACCCTTATGACTGGTTTTGTGATCCAGGATCACATTTAAGGTGTAGCCTAATGTAAGAGCTAACCAAGGGGTCAGGATTTAGCTAGCATGGTTCACTTAGACCTGGTGGGTGGAATGGATGCAATAACTGCATCGTATGGCTGCAGAAAGCATCTTACTTCATGAATAACTCCTACAACTCAGAAATCATTATGCATTTATTCACTTCTGGTTCATTGTCCTGAAATCAATGAGCTTTTTGAATGGGTTTTTGATTACATGTCTGAAATAAGGTCTGTGTTTATAACAAGCTAAAGATATTTTCACATTTTATTCTACAGCAAAAAAATAAAAATAAAATATATAAATAATATGCTAATGATTATTATTTATTTATTAAGTTAATTGTAAAATCGTGAAGCTTTTATGTGTCTTAAAAAAGGCGATTGCTAACAAAACACTTTTTGAGGTTGTCTGTTAAATTAAATGTCATCACACCGAGCATGGAAACTCATCTACTCACTAGTCACTTTCAAAGTTTCATTTTTTTATAACCAATCTCTTGCAAACTATTCTAATGCAAATTTTCCAATTTGTAGATTTTAAATGAAGATTGAAAGAGTTGGAAGTTCAGTGGTGGTAACGCTGAAGGCATGTGACCGTGTTGTCAATAGCCTATGTTTAGGTCTTTTGTTTTTTGCTTTTAGTGATCGCATTTTTGGCTTCAAAATTCATACAATGTGTGTTCATTTGTGAAGATTATCATTAAAACATGTAGGAATCATAAAACATTGTCTTATTTTCTGCAGTAATCCAAAAGCCATTCAAAAGTAACCATGTGTTCTGACAGAATATTATACATGTTATTATAGATCATTTTAGCAGTTGTCTATAGACTGTTGTGTGAAAAGTATGTTTTACGAGAGAGCATTTTCTAAAAGTCCACAGGGCCAAAAGTAATCATTAATGAAGGAACTATATGTATGGTTAAGAACCAGAATCCATTGTGTTACAAATCTTATGACATCTGGCATCTTATGACATATGACGTTTATCTGTTGCAATATTGCAAGCAGCTGAAGTATTTTTTCATGGCTCATTTAGGATGCAGTATGTCATTTTTGTCACAAGGAGGCACTCCAGATTGAACCAAGACAGACAGTGGGACTGTTGGTTTCAATTCTCTCAAAATAGAACATGAAGTGCCAGTTCATAGTCTTGGGAAGAGATCACCTAGCACGAGGAACTGCATACAAATGGCACAAATGAATAAGTAAAAACAGATTGTCAGACTAATTAGCATGTCACATGGTTAGCTTGAGGCTAGGTCAGTGGGCGAATTGTCCAAGATTGCAGCTTAGTAGAGCAAGCTTTTGTTTGTTTTGTCTCAAGGCATGAGAAGGAGGTGAACTTGAGAAAGGAAGAACGTAAAGACGAAGAAATAAAATGCAAAAGACTTTTATATATAAGCTTATCAATGCAAAGTTTGTTGACTTCACAGTCACGTTTGAAAGATTTGAAAAAAAGTCTTTTTAAAAGTTTGAAATGTCACCTATCGAAATATGTATTTTATTACATTTTTAAATGTTACCATTTAACTTTTGTGCACCAGGGTGGAAGAACACTTAAAGGGGTCATATGATGCGATTTCAATTTTTCCTTTCTCTTTGGAGTGTTACAAGCTCTTGGTGCATAAAGAAGATCTGTAAAGTTGCAAAGACTAAAGTCTCAAATCCAAAGAGATATTCGTTATAAAAGTTAAGAGTCAACCACGCCTACCTAAAACGGTTCGTTCTAACACGCCCACATGTCTACGTCACGATGTGGGAAGATTTGCATAACGCCGCTCAAATGTTCACACAAAGAAAGAAGGCGTAACTTTTATTCTCGCTGTAGTATTGTTGCTGCCGCCATGTCCTGAAGACGCTGTGTGTTTGTGTTCTGTGTGTTTCGTTGTGAAAGCGAAACTACTTTGTTAAACAGGTAGATTGGTGCATCCTTTAGCCAACGGTGATGTGCTCTAAACAGACTGGCCATCTGCTATTCTAAGCATAAGACATCAACGGTTCAGTTATGGTTGCAATGCAACAACAAATGCTGGGTTTTTTAAATTTATGTTAACAAATTGTTAATTTGCTACATTTGCAAAATGTAGATTTTTTTTTTTAACAGTTTCCTGATGAAAGGACCATCTTCTACTGGCATTTATGTCTGGCTTGTTCATGCTAGTACGTGCTAGTGTTGGTCTAGCATACTTTTAACCAGCAAAACCATCCAAAACAGCAAATGCTGGTCTTATCAGCAGGTCATGTATTTCATGATGTGCATTGGTTTTGTTAAAACCCCACAACAGGAAGAGATCATCTATAGACAAACAACAAGAGATCAGGGTTAAATAGTGGCTTTTGTGGTGTTTTT